AATTGATAAGTTTTTTAATTCCGCATGAACACCTATTCACCCCCCTCTAGGTGTTAGTTGGGTCGAACGTTAGGTTTTTCATTGTGGATAAGGATTATTTTTAATGAGGACTATATTTAGTACAAGACATCACCTATGTAAGTACAAACTTGGTTAGTTCTTTGAGAGTTTACTTAGGCGGATTCTCCATAGCCAATGTAGAACTCAAGAGAATTCAAGGCCGAAATTAACATAAGAGATAATACATTAGATTTGTTATATGGACCTGCAATAATGATTGACAGTTTAAAATTTCAAGATAAATGATTAGCCAAGTGAATCAAATAGAGTTAAATAAGGAATGTTCAAAACAAAAGCTACATACTGTAATGCATTATCTTTCATATATACTTTTCTTAGTGTTCCTTGTATTAGGTCAACTTCTTCCATTCATGTTTCGGATTGTTGAAATTTATAAGTTTTTTAATGATTAATAAATATAAATTAGAATAAGTCTCCAATAGATGCGATGATTGGGTGTGCAATTCTTCAAGTATAATAGGTTTATAATGAAGAGTCATGACCTTTGGATATAGTGCAATCTAGATCGCTAGATCATGTTCTGATTAGAAACGGTGAGATCTAATAACAAAATTTAAATTTTTCAAAAGATGCAACCATTTATGAATAAATATATTGAACATATAAATATGACCCTTTTAATTTTATTTTTTCACTCCAAATTAATTCCAAAATAATTGATGTTTAAATTCATTCTCTTTTCAAATTATGTCAAAATTTATTTTTGAATTATTTTCGACTTTTTATATTTTATTCACTCCAAATTAATTCGAAAATAACTAATTTCTAAATTCACTCTCTCTTCAAATTCTATCAAATTATGTTTAGAGTTTAATTTGCTATTTCGGTGTTGATATTGTTGGTCTGGAACTGGAAGAGTCTGATCAAGTTGGTTTGTTTGATAAAATAAATATTGTACTGTATTAATTTTGAAACAAGCATTCTATTTTAGGAGACAATCATCCATTTGATTATGTTAGTACTAGTGTTGGGGCAAAATTTGTCTTATAAAGATTTCTAATAGCATAGCTCGTTTCATATTATCTCTTTATATGTGTTCTAGCAAGTGGTTAATGTCCTCATTTTGCATGCACTTGTTTAGGAGATGTCTGGTTTGATATTTTCAACATGTTTTTAGTTTTCAATTTTGTAAAACACCAAAAACTTATTTGGTCTAACAAATTTGAATTTATGTTTCAGTGAAAATATCGAAAAATAATTAAAATATGGGAAATAAGCGTTTAACTAAAAATAAAAAATAAAAGATATAATAAAATTCTAAAAAATTAAAATAAAAGTAAAAATTTCTAAAAACAATGAAGTTCTAAAAAAATAAAAATAGTTCAAACTCTTACTGATTATTTAAATAAAATATAAATATTCTTAAAAAAATTTGAAATAAAAAATAGATAAAAATTCTTAGTTCGTGTCATTAATTTTTATTTCACGCGCACACACACACACATGAGAGCATGATTCAACATAAGTCTCTCATAAAGTAAAGGTCTTGAATTCGATTCTTGGGGAACACGAAAGAAAGTTGTGAGGGACAAGAGGGTAGGGATGTAAACGAGCTAAGCAAAAGGTCACAACTCGAGTAAAAAATGGCTCGTTTTTGTCCAAGCTAAGCTGCTCGATTTGTTTTTTTTTTTAAGTCGTGAAATTTGAAAATTTTTCACAATATAAATTATGTGAAATTTATACTAACTGTAGATTAAATAAAAATTATAACCCTCGTTCTCTTTCCGCACTTGAGATTTGCTACAATCAATATAGACGGAATTAAAATTGTACCCAAATATTTCATGTACAAGTCTTTCTAAACAAATAAATTTTAAAATTACATAAGTTTTTGAAATAATCAATTTAGGAACTTATAATATCATATCCTTTGATCTGTTGCAACTTCTCAACTATTATATAGTTGCACATTCCCATTCTTTGAAACATATCAGAGCCTCTAATAAGTCCTTTTTTTTAGTTTTGATCACTCGTCTGACAAAGCTCTACCACCTAAACTAAATGCAGCCTCCAAAACTATGATAGACATTAAAGGTGTTAGTAGAATACGTGCAATTTTTCATTTAATTGGATATTGTCTCTCATTACACTTCTAACAAGAATAGAAAAACAAATTCCTCTATTTCTTTTCACTGTAACAGACTATGAATGTCTACACACATATGTCTAACTAACTCAGATGGAATTTCAAAATGTATACTATTGATGTCTATCATTCTAGATATGAATAGACTTGAACTAAATGATGGAACACTTGTATTAGTGTTCAAAAAATTCCATATATCATCTGAATTGTTTGTAGTATTTCTTGAATATGTACTCTAGGAACCAGAACTATTTTGACCTCATTTTTTTGCTAATAGTTATACTACCCTCATAAATGAAAATTTTATATGTATATGTGATAATTCCACATTCATGTAATTTGAAATCCCCTTTATAGTTTTGTGTCAAATAAATTAAGTTGAAGGTCTGTCATCTAGGCTTGAAAAAATAAAGAGGGCAACTCTTTTTAAAATTTGGAAATTTAATTTTCGTAGATAAGACTACATCAATAAAATGAGACAAATTTCTATATTTATGAAATATTTATGTGATATAGAAAAAGTATTGTAGAAGAGGTGCAAATGTAGGATAATGAACACCGCTATAGGCATTCGTGGCATCAAAAAAAAAAAAAAAGATATAAGAATTTGTTCACATAAAATACAATACATCATTGACAATCTTCCAAGTTATATTGGGTCCATAATTATGCTTGTCACTATAATATAATGAAATAACTTTATCATATTTTTCACATGACTTTAACATAAGATACGTAGAGTTTTATATGTGTTACATCAGTTACAAATGACTTTTTTTCTAAAATATGCTCTACATACAAACTGTTAAGTACTTATTTTCTAAATAGTGACAAAGTAATAAAATTTATTAATTGTATGATTTTGTCTAGTTGTCCACTTATATGATATACAACTAAATTGATAATATGATATACACAACGCTGATTAAAAAAAAAAAAAAAAAAGAACTTTACAATAAAAGGTTAAGATCATTAATAAATTTTTAATAACAACTTTGTTCACACTAGTATTGTCAAAAGTAAAACATTAAAACTTTTAAAACCGTGTATATGTTAGTAGTATCATGGGGATATTATACTAATCTAAATCCTTTTTATTAGGTAAAATGAATGGAGTCTATCGCTGTAAGTGGCATCTTAGTTGCAGCCACATGTGCATCAATTCCTTCTCGAAATCTTTTCTATGAATATACGGAGGTAGAAAAAAGTGGAACTAGAATTGCCAAACACAAGTTTGATCACTTTTGGGTCGAAACCGATTGATTTTGCTTTAAAGTCCTTACTACCTGCCTCTTTAAATGAAATGTGCTTGAACCGCGCTTCCAACTAAGTTTTTTAGTATAGTAATTATAATATGCTTTCCAAATATTCATTCTATTTTAAACACCAACTTTTTTTCGTGTCATATGTTGTCAATAATCTGATTATTTTTTTATTTGACCTTCTAGTTTTGAATACTTCTTCCTCTTGGATATCCTCTAAATCAAATGAAACATTTTAGATGTGTCGTAGTCGAATGGAGTAATCAAACTACCTTTAAATTGGTTAACTTCATCACTATTAAAATTCATTTGTATTATTATAGCATGTTTGGTTTGGATTAAAATCTGATTTTAATTTAGTCAAAGTCAGACAATTAATATTAGTCATATCTTTTATGGGTCCGACAACTTTTCAACCACACATTTCAAAAACTTCTATTGAATTTACTAAAATAATTAATTCTAATCTCTACCAAGCAACCTCTAAATTTGGACCACTTAAAATTGAAAATTGATAACAAAAGAAACTAAATATCAGAGCCAAAAATTTGGAGAGTAGAGTTGAAAATAAAATACTATAAATTGAAAATTGTTGAAATAAATTGATATCAAATCCAAAATTTTACCTTCATATTTAGCCCTTATTTGAGCCCAATTTTTCAACATAAATACATTCTTTAACAGTGATTTGACATCATTTCAACCACACATTTTTTAATAAAATAATATTATACGCAAATCAAAAATTTTTCCTTATTTTTTAACCACACATTTTCCATTAATACACTATTTAAAAATTCATTTTCTTCACAAAAATGGAGCTCAAACAAGGGCTTATAGCCAGAAATAGACTTGTTCTACAAATTTTGAAATTTCGAATTTGACTTTGATGGGATTTTTCACTTGCTTTTGCAGCTACAGCTGGAAGCAAGCAAGCTACTTGTAGCAGTACAAGTTGCTTAACTAACTGCTTGCAACATACACATTGTCCAAAAAATGAGGCTCGGGCCATCGTCCGAAAATGAGGCTTAGTGGAGACAAGCCATGATCCGAGCCATCGGCCGCTCTAACCAACGAGCCAAATTTTCATCCTTATACGAGACAGGTGTCTTTCCAAAAAAGACGGAAAGTAAGAGAACAATAGGGCACATGACTCGAGTCATTACAAAAAACTCCCTATTGCATCATCCAGGATTCAAATTCTATTTTAATTGTATAAAATTTTTCTATTTTACTAAACAATCAAATTCATAAAATAAAATTTCTCAATTTTTTAAAACAAACAATTTTCTAATTTTCTCAGAAAGACAAAACATACGCATTTTCAATAATTATAAAATAGACTTTGAAAACCCAAAATAAAATAAAATATTAAAATAAAATAAAACAAAACAATTATGCTCTAGTTTTAAATGCAAGAGATGTAAACAATGTTTTAAAATATGAAGGTAACCTTAAATTCCTAATCCAATAAAATAATAAAAATGAAAACAAAAATCTTGATGAGCTAGTCTACTTGTACAGAAATTTAAGTATAGAAATGTTGTATAGAATACATACATTAAGGAGAGTGGGTGGTTTTTTTGGCAATAAAATATTCATGTACGGTCCACCATTTGTGACACTCTGTACACATTCTGTGAACTTAAAATTCTGTACAGTCGGAATTTTTGAATCTTGATAGCATGTTTGCTTAAGCGAAAATAAAGTATTACAATACTACTTATTTATTTACGTATAAGTAACCCTTTTATTCTTGGCCAAACAAGTCTTTATCGTCGTGAGCTACAAGGAACATTTCAAATGTGTTTTGCGGGCAACGACCTGCCAAGCACCCCAAGATCGACAGATGACAAACACACAACCCCGCCCCCACCCCACCACTTCCTCACCCCCATAACAAGAGGTGGAAGAGTCGGGCTCTCTTTGTCTTCCTTCCGAAGATTAGGGAAGCTTCTAGGGGGTGGTGAGAGAGAAATCATGATTTGATAATTATCAAATGTGCTGAGTTCTGAACATATTGATGCAATTTTGATGAGATTTCGTTCAATTTGGTCCATTTTTGTATTCATTTAATTCATCGCCGATCTCTCCTTGCCTCCCGTTCTAGGGTTTCTCCCTTCTCTTCATCATCTTCTTCTTCTTCTTCAGGTAGCTTTCCCTTTCTGATTTTTGGTCAATGAATCGTTTATGATTTTTTTCTTTTCTTTTTTGGATAATTTATGGGCTGTTGTTAGCTGACGTGTTTTTGTAATTTTGTAATTCGAGATTTTCTTCTTGATTTTTGTTAAGTCTATGTTTTCTAATAGAACAGTTAGATTGCTTTACGCTCATTCAGCTTCTTGTTGTTGTCGCCGCCGCTGCTAGGAAGCCTATGCTTTTTTAACTCTTTGTCAATTTTGATGATTTCACTATAATTACCCTGATTATTTTAATTATTTGAGAGCTCCGATGGGAGGTTAAAAAATAGGACATTTTCAATTAATTGATAATGAATTTTCTCCTTTTATTTCGAAAGAAATTGTGAGAGCTTGGAATCCTTGCTTAATTCAATGATATAACTTGTAACGATAAAAGATTGTTCAACAGTTACTTGAAGATTTTTGTGCTGCTGTAGCCTGTTTAGTCTGTGGATATTAAGATGGATATTGAATTTTTCATTTTCTATTGCCACAAACTTTTGGCAGTTATTTAATTTAATTTATTTTTTTCCGACACGTTTTGTCATTTAAGTAGAAAATATCAATTTTTGATGCAGATTGTTTGATGTTTGAAAGTCATGCCAACATTCACAGCTAAAGCTTTTGACAGACTGATAGAACCAGGAGCTGAAAACTCTGTGATGCCAGTGATAAATGCTTCCGATCTCAAACTCGCTAGGAGAAATAGTACTCCAGACTCAAGGCTTGATAGGAGAATCATTTCTCCTAGTTCGAAGCTGGAGAGGGGAGTTAGTGTTCCTCCTAATCCAAAGCTCAATAGGACAAATGGTTCATCAACTACGGCTGTTGTAGATCGAAGACACAATTGGACTCAAATCTCGCCTGCACTCTATGCTACACCAGAGTCAACTCCAATTCCCGATGCCCCATCTTCATTTCCTCCATCTCCTTATATCATTAATCACAAGCGGCGGGGGCCTCGACTCGTGAAGAGTTTCTCTGAGGATGATGTTGCGACTCACCAACAAGCTGTGGACGAGAATAAGTTCGATGCGAATGGAAAAAATGCTGAAAAGAAGCTTGCTGGCATAGCTAAGGATGACAGCTGTGTTCATAATGGGCACGTGGACTCTTTCGAGGATAATAATTATACACCAACCATTCCCAATGTTGCTGAGGAGGATCTGAATGGTGTGTTTGATGGTGAACACGGAAGCAGTGATTTGACCAATGGTTCGACTGTTAAAAATAGGGTGGTGAAGTCTGTCGGATTTAATTTGCAGGGAGATAGTGAGGTGGATGATTTCTTTGATACCCAGGACTTGATGAGTGTTAAGAGCAATAGTGAAAGTGAGGGTATTGGTGTAGCAGAACGCTCTTTGAATTCAACAACAACAACAGCTGAGTTTTATGATGCTTGGGAAGGTACCTTTGCCTTTTAATTTTATGAACGCAAATTTTTCTTTCTTTCTTTAGTACATCTAGAACTAATTGTAAATGCTTGCATGTATAAAGTAAACATTCTTATATTGTGATTGTTTAACGTGCATCCGTTGTCAAAATGCTTGTGGATCATCCTGAGCATTAATATTTGTGTCTGTACATAAAATGAGAGAGAGAGAAGGGGGTGTGGGCAATATGAACATTTTGAACCGCTTTGTTAGTTATCAACTATACGAACATCATGAATTCATTGTTTCAATATCTTAAAGAGTGTTCTTTCATGACTTACTATCATTTCATGCTCAGACTTGTCATCAGAGAGTTGCCCACAGCCTTCAATTCCTGATATTGAAACTGATCTGCGTGAAATAAGACTGAGTTTGTTGATGGAGATAGAGAAGAGGAAGCAAGCAGAAGAAATCCTTAACGATATGCGAAATCAATGGAAAAGTATCCGGGACCAGTTATCTCTTGCGGGGTTGACACTCCCGCCAGATCCAACTACTTTGCCAGGGGGTGGACAGTCAGGTGATTCTGCAGCAGATCTGTGCCAACAAGTCTTTCTTGCCCGCTTTGTTTCAAATTTAATTGGGAGGGGCACTGTGAAGGCTGAAGTTGAGATGGATATGAAAGCTCAGATTGAATTGAAGAATTCTGAGATTGCTCGTTTATGGGACAAGCTACATTATTATGAGGCTGTGAACCGGGAGATGTCTCAGAGAAACCAAGAAGCTGTAGGTGAGGTCTTTAAACCATAATGCTTTTTTAGTGGGCTTACCTTTCATTTATTTTTACCAGAAAATAGTGACAGATTGCTTTCTTGTGGTTGTGGTTATGCATGACAATTTAAATAGCTTCATCCAGTATGTTCTTTCGGAACATTTTATGGTCAATGATGAATGAAAACTTTGTCCTGTGAAATCTCTTTCCTCTCATAGTTTTGCCTATAAACTGCAGTGAACAGACCTCAATGCGGGGTTGATGGAGGAGCAATGGAGAGGAAGATGTCAATTTACTTCTTTTTTTTCATTAAAATTTGCTTCACATTTCAGATTTTAGATCTGCAAGACGTATTTATTTTAACCTCTATGTATTTTTAGCACAAGAGCCCTTTTTCTTTATTTCTTTTGGAATATTTTCGAAATTCTAATCAAGTATTTTTAAGAGTTCTTTCAATATACAGGGTTCTTTTTCTTGTCCAGCTCTCTTGGATCACATACATTATTGGACCGTTGCTTGTCATTATTATTTTCATTTGCATTTTGTTTTAAAGCTGTTTTTGGGTTAATATACGCATTCAATGTTCCCTGATAGCTGGTAAATAATTAAATACTAGCTACAAGTACAACATAATTACTATTGTTGTAGTATAAATTGGTACTTGTAACCATATCTATTCCATTTGTGCAAGTTAACATGAGTGATATTTTTGACATGATGTGTAGTTGATGATATAGTGGTTGTACTTTTTGCCCCCTTAAAAATATAAGCCGCGTTCATATTTCTTTTGCTAATTTTATAGTATTAATATTGCATCACATGGACTTGATGTTTTCTTGTTATTCATATATACAAAATTTCACTCTCCTTTTGACATAAGAAACATATTTATTCCTACCTCACTATGCCTGTCTTTGTATTCTTTATTTCTACTTCGTCTTCGTTTGCCAACTCTTATGATTTTGCTGATGATGCTTATAGTAGCTAAAGACGAAAATTTCATTTTATCCTTGCTTACTAAAGTACTAAAAAGACATCATCTCTTCCATTATGCTACTTGCACTTACTTCAACAGTTTAATAAAGTACTAATAACTGTGTATGTCCTTGGAGGTACTTTGCATTTTATATTGTGGGAAGCTTTAAGATTTATAAACCAAAATAAACAGAAAGAAATAGTAGTTCCTTGATGCTGATTCTCGTTGTTTGAACTAAAAAGCAATACTTGATTTGGTATGAACTGTGGGAAAGATGAATTGTTAACTTTCCTTATTTCGCGTCAATTAGATAATGTTTTTGTTGCTTTCATTCATTTTATTCTATGTAAATGTTACTTGCCCATAAAAAATGAATTATTCTTCTGATTTCATACCGTATTTGACTCGTGTAGAGACAGCAAGACAACTTAGGCAAAGAAGGAAGAGAAGACAGAATTGGGTTTGGGGATCGATTGCTTCTGCGGTTACAATTGGTTCTGCTGTCATATTGTGGTCTTACTTCCAGACTGGAAAAGGATCATCTTCCTCAAGCCAATCACACGATCCTGCGGTTGAACACGGTTCAAAGCAATAAACTCCAAGTGGATGGCTTAGTACAGGCTATGCCTGATAAATGAATAACAAACAATAGGTCGATTTTGCGATCTTGTGAATACCAACATTTTGTCCTGCCATTGAGTGTAGATCTAATAATAAAATCAAAGTCTGCACGACACAAAGTTGATATAGCTAGCAATTCGAACTATAGATTTATTTAAAATTGTTTTTATTCTTACGTCCTATCTTGGTTTATACAGCTGGATAACTTGGAATGTTATCATTGTGTTGTGTGTTCAGTTACGTTGTTGGTGATAATGCTGATTCTATTCCCGTTGTGTTGTATGTTTTTAAAAATATTATTACTTTTATTACCATTTCGACTTTAAGTTGGACATTCTTTTTTACATGCATGGTATAGATTTTTAATCAGAATTTTAGCAGAATCCTATACTTTGGAAAGTTGAATGCGCCTCAAAACCCATTTCCGACAGTTGAATGTGCGCCTCAACCTATCTTGCATTGATTCCTTCTATCACCTTAAAATATTCATTGTCGACTAGAACTTCACGTGAGCCATAAAAGGGTCCATTGCATGTTCACGTGTTTTTGCATAACAGGCCGCCGAAACCCAACTTAGCAACAAAGCACGGAGAACAATAACACTTGGCCCAAAAAAATAAAAATAAAATGATTTAATGCCTCAGTTACCACCAAAGGTCTAGAGGCCTCTGATTAAGTTATGAATATTGGCAAAACATTAGTATAGGTTATGACACAATCAATATAGACTTCAGTGTAACAAACTCATGTGTGTGCACATAATGAATTGTTTAACTACTATCTTAAAAGCACAAAATTCTACAAGTTCTAGAAAACCAAACTTAATCATGACTTCCAAAATAATGATGAGAGAATGTCAAATTCATAAAAATGATCAAAGAGACCCTAAAAATGTTTATAAAAAGGGCATTTTGCACAATTAAAAGAGGATTGAAAATCTAATGTTCAATCTTTCACTCCCTAAAAGCCGACTTGAATCGAGGTAATATTAAGAACCAGCCCTCTTGGAAATTCAAATTTCTGACCACCCTTTGGCTCCTAAACAAACCCCAAACCCCAAAAAGGAGTACATGTTGGAAATATTTCATAACAAAGGGAAATGGAGAAGAAACAAGGTGGAAAATATATCAAGTAGATGTAAATGATGATGAAGGCTCGAACATGGTACAATTATCCTCAAACTATATTTGCCCCCTCTTAGATTGAACAAGATGCTTAAGGGATACTTGGCAAATGGTTTGCAGTAATTATCAAGCCTTGAACAGGATTAATCACTCAAGCATTAAGTGAAATCTTCCAAAACTCGAGAACACAAGGAAAGGATTGAATATGACGAAGAAAATTGATGATCTTTTGTGGAATGGAAATGTAATTGCCAAAATTTTATTTTTCGAGTGTTTTGTTATGAATGTCAATCACCTATTTATAGGTCTCATAAGATCCCACGAAGTGGTGCCAAAATAGGTTGAAAAATCACCAAATTCAAAACAACAACGGTTATAAACGACTATTTTTTAATGCTATGTGATCGCATAGGCCATTGGCACAGTGACGAATTCAGGGTTGGATGTCAGCTAGGACAACCATCGATAGTTGACCACAATAGTGAAATCAACTGGGTCCATTCCGTGACTAACAGTATTTTAGACCTGAATGAATCTTACATAACCAAGAACATCGTAACCCCTATCATAGACTCTATGAGAAATTACCCCATTAACCCAACACTTCCTCCAAACATGCACTAAGTGTCCAAGTGCGTCTTCTTATTAACCTGTCATTAACATATACAAAGCATAAAATAACTAGCATAATAATCAAGTCAATCCCACTATCCAAGTAGAACCTTGACAAGAACAAAATCACAAGATGGTAAGATTATGGTCTAATCTCAATAGTAAAATTTTTATTTTAGACACCACAAGTCCAACAAGTTATTGGGGAAAAAAAAAAAACCCACCATACCATAATAAAAAACGCAAACAAAACCTACAAAGAGATTCTATGAACATGTACAATATTCAACAACATAGAAAAGCTAAAATAATTCGACACAAAGTCAAAACACGAGAATCCCATAAGCAAAACACAAAAGTCATTGTTTTGACATCAAAACATAGAACAATAAAACATTATCATCAACTGATGTTAAATCAAGATCAAAACAATCTAAGATAAACTAATAGGAACCCACCAATTCATTGCCTAACTCAATAGCATCATCACTGAAGACTTTCCCGTGACTTTGGTGGCTTCCATAGAACACAGTTCTCCTATAACTTACCATAGCTTCTTGATTTATTATTATTATTATTATTTTTTGAGTGCACAGCAGGACTATGAACAAGGGAGGGAGGTAGGGAAATAGGGCTTGCTGGTTTGCAAATTCTATTTGTTCTCTCATACAAACCATTGTGCCAATTTATGTCTAACCTCAATTTTTTTTTTTTTTTTTTTTTTTTTGTTAAAGGAGGCCCAAAAGAAAAGACCCACAATTGAGAAAAAAAAAAAAGGCTCAATCCAAATTGTCATATTTCGTCGTGTCTGCCCTTCAAGTTTCTTCACGGTAGCTTGCGACTGTAAATTCTGGTGGATTCAGCACGTGTGACCGCGCCCCTTTGCCGGTTGCTGGATTTGTCACTGCATTGGCCAATGCAGTCGCATAAATATATGTTTTGGCCTCCAATTCCATTTTCCCTTCCATGCATGTTTTATTGATTTCGAACAATCATACAATAATCCACCACTTGTTCAAAATTCAATAAAACCCTCATATTCAAAATACAATACTCATGCATGCAGATTATGATAGAGCACAGATTTAGCACACACTTATGGAAAGATTTACGAGCACATATTTAGCACACAGATTTACTGCTTGTAATACTCTGCCCATTTTGAGTGATTCATTTTCCTTTTGTACAGCCTAAATTACTGGGATTATATGGGTTGCTACTGTATAAATATTGATACCAATCAATGGTTAATATACTGAAAATTTCCACCAAACTGTTTATGGTATCAGAGCCTCTCTGTCAACTGAACAGAGTCTGATCCCTCTTCAAAACCCAACCGTGCCATCTACAATGGAAAAATCCTCGGAGTCCTCTGCAACACCAATAACTTCAGCAACTGATTCTGGACCAGTGATTGCATCAACTCCAGTGAACACCACGGCTCAAAACAACTCTTTTCCCATCAATGGAAATCTGATAGCTCTTAATGCCTCTTCTCAGATTCCATTTAAACTTGCAAAAAATGGCGAAAATTATGCATCTTGGAAGTCCAAAATGACCAACCTCCTCTTTGGTTATGGACTTCTTGGTTTTGTTGATGGAACTCATCCATGTCCATCGAAAAATGACCCTGGATATCTCCTTTGGACTCGTCAAGATCGTCTTGTGCTCCTTGGCATTCAAGCTGTTGTTAATAGCGCAATTTGCCCGACGATAAACAATTGCACCACATCTGCAGATGCCTGGAACAAGTTAGAAACCAGTTACGCTAATCGTTCAACTACCCGTATGCTTTCTATTATGTCCTCTCTTATGTCAAACAAGAAGGAAGGGAAATCTGTGGCAGCTTATATGAGCAAAGTTAAAAGCCTTGTCGATGATCTAGCTCTCATTGGGCATTCCCTAAACGACGCTCAAATCATGTCCTATACTTTAAATGGTTTGGGCAATGAGTTCAAAGAACTTACAGCAGCAGTTCATGTCCGTGACACCCCCATAACTTTTGAAGACCTCTATGATAAACTACTTGATGAAGAATTGATAAGTAATCATGGAGAGCCGAAGGAAGAAGAAATTCAAGTTACAGCACAACTTACTCAAAGGAGGTCCAATTTTAGAGGTCGTGGTAATAGAGGTGGCCATCGAGGTGGCTACAATAACACCACATATCGCCACGATAACAACACCAGTGGGCAAAACTCTCTGTTCAATCACCTGCAATTCAATCGGCAGCAGTCGAGGCCCTCCTACAGCAGAGGTATAAACCATTCCAACTCTCCATCATACTCCCCTCCATGGAATTCATATCAGCATCAAGGAAATCAAAGCCAACCTCACATTATTTGTCAACTATGTGACAAGTCTGGACATAGTGCAAAGTCCTGTAGACCTGGTGGACTGCCACCTTCCTATATCTCTCGACCTCAAGCAAATATGGCTGAAGGACTATCAACACCAACAACAATTGGGTACTTGATTCAGGCGCTACGCACCATGTCACTTCAGACCTACAGAACCTTTCCTTGCACTCAGATTATGTTGGTAACGAGGATATTGTAGTCGGTAATGGTAAATGAATCTCTATCTCTCATGTTGGTTCATCTTCGATTGATTCCCCTATTGCCTCATTTACATTAGATAATGTTATGTGTGCACCCATGATAACAAAGAACCTTATATCTGTTTCCCAATTTTGCAAACAAAATAACACATCTATTGAATTTTTTCTTGATTATTTTCTTGTGAAGGACTTGAATACGGGGGCATCCTTGGCGAAAGGCCGGAGTAAGCACAACTTATATGAGTGGCCATCCGCAACCCCACCTATCAAGCAATCACCAATCACTCCTTCTGTCTCAGTCACCCTCCCGTCTCAACTATGGCATCAACGGCTTGGCCATCCCTCTCCTCCAATTCAAAAGAGAATACTCACTAGCAATAAAATTCCCTTGTCAAATTCATCTACAAATAAAGTGTGTGACTCTTGTCTTTGCAACAAAAGTCATAAACTATCTTTTAAAAATTCTTCTATTAGTTGTACTACACCATTTCAAGTTATCTATTCGGATGTTTGGGGCCCTGCGCCAGTGACTTCATTTGGAAATTTTCGATATTATGTTATCTTCGTTGATTACTTTACTAAGTACACGTGGTTGTATCCTCTTAAACTTAAATCTGATGTCGTTACTGTTTTTGAGAAATTTCGAAAACTCATTGAAAATTTTTTCCATACTAAACTCAAAACTGTTTACACATCGTCATATTGTGGAAACTGGTCTCACACTTCTTCACAACGCTGCCATACCTCTACGTTTTTGGACCTATGCCTTCCAAACCGCCACCTATCTCATTAATCGCATGCCCACTCCTGTTCTCCACAATGACACACCATATCACATATTATTTGGTCACAAACCCAAATACACTTTCCTCCGAGTCTTTGGTTGCCTATGCTATCCTTGGCTTCGACCATTCAACACTCACAAACTCGAACCCCGATCTCAACCGTGTGTGTATCTTGGTTTTTCACTGTCTCATCA